TTATGATTCCAACTGTACGAGTGATTGACCGCTCATTCCCCAGCCAAGTCTTGAGTCATGCAGTAAGAAATGTTATATACGATATATACATATTTAACTCTCCAGTGCATACATACATGATCTGAACCGTGCAACAATCTATGGATGTTGATTTATGACACAAGCATCAAACCCCTCCACCTGCTCCGTAATATGGATCCATTTCCATGGGGACTTGGAGAGTTGGAGACCTCGAGTCTAGACCAAGGTCGCTCGTCGATCTTTCTCCACGAAGAGGGGAATTTCCAAGGCGAGATAATCTACCCTGAAGCAATTTGTTGTGATAGCCAAAATGACACAGACAATCGTGCAATGATGATATTTATGATGAAATGTAATTGTACGTATAAGTTATGATTGCAAGATACTATACTCACAGGTATAATTGAATAAACTCCCAACATAATGTGTGCATGCATGTAGATGTTGGATTTGACAGTTGTGGACATGTTTAACGCATGACAGTACTGGGTAACTCGGTAACAAGATCATCAAAACTGTTCGAGCATAAGTTTGTATCTGAGAAGTATTAAAGATGTAACTGTATAAAATTCTTTATATTTTGAGTAAGCTCTAAAGCCCACAGCTGACGCGTGTTGGCTTTGATGTCCGTGCCTCAAAAATTGAGTGAGGATTTTGAGTAGAAGTTGAGATAACTGAGTCCCTACGCCGGACCAATCTGGTATGTATCAGGAATTAACCTGTCATAGCAAATTTGATTCCTAGCCCTTCCTCCCCAAAATTTGATGATATTCATTTCTAGTACCTAGAATACTGTTTACATAGGTAGGTAGGTGGGTAGGTATAATACCTACACAAGCCGTCTCACCGCCTGCCAAATTTGACCATAAACGCATCGCGGGCGGCAGAATTTCTTAAATTTTAGTCAAGTTTGACCACGAGCTCAGTAGCCATGCAAACTCTTTTCAAACAACACGATTATATGCTTCGCAGACTTTGGAAACCAAGGTCGAAGCTTGCCGTCGGTGCGATTGCGAATCTCACGACTCGTCTCTCGATTCTGTATTCAAATCGCAACCATCCAACTTTTTGCGACAAAACCACTGCGCTTCGCCAATTTTCGACTACCGCATTAAAAATGGCGGCCGATACCGTCAAGACGGATACTGTGACTGTCGAGGGGAAGGAGTACAGGACTGTTACGGAGGGAAAGGCGACTATTCTGGTCCCGCAAGGTGCCAAGATTGGCGAAGACCGTGGGGAGGTTCAGCAGGTCTTCTACAACCCTATTCAGCAGTACAATCGCGATTTGTCTGTCCTCGCCATCAAGACGTACGGCGAGATGTCCCTAGAGAAGAGAAAGGAGCAATACGAATCAAGAATGAAGAAGCAAGGCAAGAAGCGAAAGCGCGGCGACGATGTTCAAAAGCCCACCGAGAATGCTGCGGAACCCACACCTCAGGATGCGCCACAAGCGACTGAAGAAGCTGCAAAGCCCGATGTTGCCGATCCCGCCCAACCAAAAAAGGAGTACAAGCCCTCTTTCCGCATTTTGGACGCCCTGTCTGCGTCGGGATTGCGAGCGCTTCGATATGCCCACGAATTACCCTTTGTCACCTCTGTCAAGGCCAATGATTTGTCGGATACAGCTGCCGATTCGATTAGGTTGAATGCAAAGCACAACGGACTGGAGGATAAGATCAATGTTACTCAAGGTGACGCACTTGCGCTCATGTACCGTGGGATCGCGGACGATCTATCGAACAGGGATAAGGCAGGAAGTCCAGGCAAGGCCAACAAGTTTGATGTCATCGATCTTGATCCTTATGGTACCGCCGCGCCATTCTTTGACGCTGCTGTGCAATCAGTGAAGGATGATGGTGGCCTTCTCTGCATCACTTGCACCGACAGTGCGGTGTGGGCAGGACACAGTTATTGCGAGAAGACATTTGCGCTATATGGTGGAATCCCTATCAAGGGCATGCACTCCCATGAGGCTGGCTTACGACTTGTCCTCAACGCCGTGGCCACATCTGCAGCCCGCTACGGACTGACGATTGAACCTCTTCTCTCGCTCTCCATTGACTTCTATACAAAGTTCTTCATCAAGGTGATCAAGTCGCCCCAGTCAGTCAAATTCCTTGCCTCCAAGACCATGCTGGTCTATAGCTGCGACGCAGGTTGCGGTGCTTGGGAAACACAGCATATGTTGAGGAGTAAGCCTGCACCGAATAAGAAGGGCAATGGGGCCTTTTACAAGCACACTATGGCGCAAGGTCCATCGGCCGACCGACATTGCGAGCACTGCGGACTGAAAATGCACATCAACGGCCCTATGTATGGTGGACATATTCACTCTCAGGAGTTCATCGAGAGACTTCTTGAACAGATTCCAAACGCCGACCGTTCCATTTACGGCACAATGCCTAGACTCGAGGGCATGTTGCGGACAGCTCTGGAGGAGAACCTACCAGGTCCTGAAGTCAAGGAGCCTGTGGATCCTAAAGATGCCCAGCTTGCGGCTATTGACAACTACCCTTTCTTTATCATCCCAAGCCGTTTGGCCAATGTAGTGAGCTGTGTGACACCCAGCGAGGACATGGTTCGAGGAGCGTTGATACATCTGGGTTACCGAACCGCTAGAAGCCACTGCCGACCAGGAAGTATCAAGACGGACGCTCCGTGGTCCACAATCTGGTGGATTATCACGGAATGGATCCGTCAAAAGTCGCCTATCAAGGAATCTAGCATCAAGAAAAACTCAGCAGCATGGAAGATTCTGACCGATGCTGGCATAATTGGACAGGAGAAGCCTGAGATTACAGAGGAGACAGTCAAGGACGACTCCGCAATGGAGGGTGTGGAACAGAGCCCGCCTGAAGCTGTCGAAGCCAGCTCCGCAAGCGCACAGAATGGAGATGATAACACTGTTCCTAGTGAAATGGAGCTGCGCAAGACCCTCGTCTTTGACGAGAGTCTGGCACGTCTGGCTCGCAGACGTGGAGAGCAGAAGTACGTACGATACCAGATGAACCCACGAGAAAACTGGGGTCCTTTGGCGAAGGCAGCCCGCCGATAGTAATGTAAATTTGATCATGTACTTGCTCTCAATGTTTCTTTTACTTCACCGGCTAAAACAAGCGATCCTTGAGCAGTTGAAATGACGACACATGATCGTTGGTGTGTCTGAGTAGGCATTATCTGTTCGTCAGCAAAAGCCCCACAAAGGCCTACGGAAGTATTGCTGAGGGCTTTTGAGCTTGACTTGTTCATCATCTTCAATCTCAACAACCCGAATACAACACCCTCGAGCCGAACGAGTACTGTATCCTCCTTTGACGGGCATTTTGCATTTGTTTATTTCGCGCGTATTTGTGATTGGCTATTGCGCCAGAAATCAATAAAGATACCATATCCTTCCATCTTCAGCCTCCCCCCGTCTTTGATCGTTCATATATAATGTCCTCTCCATCGGCAGCATCTCGTGCGATTAAAACTCTAAACGTCGAAGATGTCTCGTTCACTGACAAGAACCTCACGTGGACTAGCACCGGGACATCCGAGAGCACGTCGCGCCATGAGCTTGTGTTAGTTCGGGAGGTCAAATCAAGCACAGAGTCGCCTTCGCATTATCTTCTCTTCTTGCTTAAAGAAGATCAAGGCAATGAAGAGCACCCATGCAGTCTCTCAATTCTGAAAACAAACGAGATTCCCTCAGAGCTTCGCAACATTACACTGGCAGAGCTTCCCCCTCATTTGAAGCACGATTCTGCTAATGAGCATGGTATCACAAATCAAGTGGATGTTATCGTCTCTATGAACTCTGGAGTAGGACAAGCCTTGAGAGTCTGGCAATATGTACTGAAACCTCTTTGGGAATCGTTCACAGACGACTCTGAAAAACAGCAATATCGCCTCATACAGACGGATAGTGCAGAGACCGTTCGAGATTATGCACGCCACTTGTGGGCTTTAGAGGAGCGTTCAAAGACGAGGACGATTGTTCTTCTCAGTGGAGATGGCGGCGTCGTAGACCTCCTCAATGGCTCTGATGGAGACAAAGTACCCCGGATTCTACCCACAATTGCGCTACTGCCTCTCGGAACTGGAAATGCCCTTTTCCATTCAACCCACAAACCTCTATACACCGAACCAGGCCCAAGCCCGCTTACACTTGGACTTCGAACGCTATTTCAAGGGGTAGGCGTCGATCTTCCTGTGTTTCGAGCCTCGTTTTCACCGGGATCTCGAATCGTCAAATTCACGGACAAAGTCGAAGGAGAGGCTCCAGCCAATGACCCAAACCAGATGAAGAAGGAGGAAACTTCCATCACACATCTACAGGGAGCTATAGTTGCTAGCTACGGGTTTCACGCGAGCATTGTTTATGAAAGTGATACTCCTGAGTACCGTGTTCACGGTGACAAACGGTTTGGCATGGTTGCCACTGAGCTGTTGAAACAGTCTCATCCCTATGCTGCAAAGGTATCTATCCGTCGTCATGATTCGGCCACCTTTGAAGACATCCCTCGCGAGAAACACGCCTACGTGCTCACAGTTCTCGTCTCAAACCTCGAACGAACATTCACAATATCGCCTGCCACTCGACCTTTGCAATCGCAGCTTCGACTTGTCCACTTTGGACCTATCGGCGGTGATCGGACGATGGATGTCATGATGAAGGCGTACGACGGGGGTAAACACATCGGCATGGATTGGCCTGATGGCGAACGTGTAGGCTATGACGAAGTGGATGAGGTCAAGATTTCGGTCTTGGAGAGTGACGAGAGGTGGCGAAAGGTATGCATTGATGGGACGATTATTGAAATACCCGAAGGTGGAGATATGGCCATCAAGATGCTAGGCCGTGGCCTTTTCAAGATCCTGGCAAGTCCCCGGGTTTTGGAAGGCGGAATTTAATGCTTGGGATTGATCTTATTTGTTGATCCTCTTCTCTTTGACTAGACCGTTGGTTCTATTCATTGCCGAACACCAACTATCTAGTCCTGAAGTAACTTCTTGACCCTCTTTTCCATGAGCTGCTCAAATGCATCCACGCCATTCTCTAACGTGCTCATTGTACCTCCCTTCAATCTATAAACGACTCGTCTTCTCACACTCTCCTCATCGTCATCTTCATCTGTTTCCTCGCCCTCCTCCACCGCACCCTCAATTACGCCGCGCATAAACCATCGGTCGTGACTCACAAGAATCACAGCACCCTCCCAATCTCTCAATGCTTCCCGAAGTGCCGTGACGGTTTCGTAGTCAAGATGGGTGGTGACTTCATCAAGAACAAGGCAATGAGGTCGTCTCCAGAATAGACGAGCTAGTTCGCAGCGCACAACTTGTCCTCCTGAGAGTTTGCAAAGTGGCACGTCTGATGCGATTCGGCCTGGAAGACCGATCTGGCCCAGAAGACCGCGGATGTCTCCTTCTGTGAGCTCGCCGTCGACTTCTCGAGTTAGGAGAGCGAGGGCTGTTAGTGTAGGTTCTGAGCGGCCAAGAGTCTGTAGAGCTTCAACAGCGTGTTGAGAGTAGTACCCCAGTTTCAGTCGGGGATGCGTCGTCAGAGTTCCTGCTGTCGGTCGAGTCTCTTCCACTAGAAGTTTTATAAGCGTCGACTTGCCAGCGCCATTGAGACCGAGGATACCGATACGATCCCCCATGCCGACAGATAGGGTGATATCTTGCACAACAAGAGGGGTTTTGGATGAGTAGCGGAAGGCAACTTTCTCCAGGGATATCAGAGCGCCAGGGAAGCGCAGATCAGGTGGTTCGGGGAGATTCACCACCACAGGACGATCCTCTGGTGGAATATCGATGTCCTCACGCGCTGTCAAGTGATAGCCCACAAGGTCTCTGTTAAGCTTAAAGCGACCTCCTTTGGCACTAACCTGCAAACCCCAGCGATTATCGAGTTTCTTCTGACGAGACTTGGCTTGGCGCAGCTTATTGGTGTCATCGTTTGCCTTGCCAGCTTTCATGTTGGCCGCGATGGACTTTTCGATATGCGCTTTCTGCTTATCTTGTGCTTCTTTCATAGTGGTAAGCCATTGTTTACGTTCACTTTGCGACTCCTCGTACGTGGGTAAGTCGCCATGGAAGTAAGTTAACTGCTTGTCCTTGAGGATGAGAAGATCGGTGCAAAGAGAAGTGAAATCGCGATCGTGCGATACGAGGATAAGAGTAGGAGGATTATCGTCGTCTTGCAGACCTTGGAGATAGCGCTGGAGCCATATAATTCCTAAAAGGTCGAGGAAATTGGTGGGTTCGTCGAGGATCAGGATGTCTGTTTCTTGGACGAGAGCTGTGGCGAGAGAAGCGCGCATGTGCCAGCCGCCAGATAAGCTTGAGATCGGTTTTTGAATGAGGGTCTCGGAGAAGCCCAGACCTGTAAGGATCTTTTTTGCCTTTGATTCGATTTCTGATACGCGAGTTGGGTCCATTTGAAGTTGGAGATCTGCAAGCATGTCGACTGCTTCTTGGGTCTCGGCTTGGAGCGTTTCGGGAGAGATATCCCCGCTTGACTGCTGAAGCCTGGACTAAGTTAGAGATTGAGATGAAAGGAAAAGGAAGTATCGTACAACTCATTCGACTCTGCTACAACTTTCTCATATGCTGTAAGGGCTTTTCGAGCTTGCATGCCGCGGGCGCCGCTACGAAGTCGAGCGTCTTTATCCAGACGAAAAAGACGCTCCTGATGCTTTTTGTGTTTGTGCTGTCTTAAGGCCTTCACCGGGGCAAATGGATCAGACGAGTTTATTCCCTCTGCGAGACCTGGATTGAATGTTAAAGATTTGTCAAAGAGAACAGGAAGGCTAGGCGGGTAAATGTACCTTTGATGTCTTGTTCAATGGCATGTTTGGCGGTCGCTTTTTCAATGACTTGCTCCAATACAGATGACTGACCACCTTCGGCTGGGTTTGCATCAAGCTCCTCTTTTTCATCAGTGAGTTTAGTCTGCTGTAGAATAGCAATTCTCGTCTCTTCTGGGATACCAGGGATGAGCTTTTCGGCGATTGCTTTGAGGAGTGCTATAGAGTGTGGTCAACATCTCGGGCATTTGTTGTAACACACAGACATAAACCTACTGGACTTTCCTGTCCCATTGCGTCCTACTAAGGCATATCGTTGTCCCTCTTTCAGCCGAAGCTTGGCGGCAGAAAGAATTTCGACGCCATCGCTTTTCCCCTTGGCCTTTCCCTTGGCAGTCGCTTTGTCGCCTGAAGTTACAGTGATGTTTACACCGTCAATGTCGAGCTGTATGTTGTTTAGAATTGAAATGGGATTTATCATTAATTGACGTGCTCACTTCGCGATGGTTGGTGATTTGGAAACGCGTTTGCTTGGAGTTGCAGAGAATGGTGGCTACAGGTTCTGATGCCGCTGATGTCATTGTCGGAAGAGAGATTGGGAGTTGTGTAGTATGAGTTTGGGGATGAAATCAGATATTGATGAAAGAGAGATGATGGATTGAGAAGGTAGTTGCTATATCCTGAGGTTGTTCTGAAAGATGAGGCGTGATGTTATATAGTTGGATTTAACGTTGATTAATATTTCCTTAGGGGCGATCTGCACAAACACAGTAGCTACCTGTACAACTTGTAAACTGCCTTGCTTGGTATTTGTTTCTTGGCATTTTACTATGGTTTTGTACTCCATGTCACTGGCTCTCGATTGTTGGTGTCTTTGTTAGTGCAATTATTAAATTGTGATACAGTTAAGAGTGACTCACGCCGAATGACTTGTTTCTTACTACTTGCATCTTTTTCATGGGGCAAAAGAAATCATTAATTAAAACTTTTAGGAAATCAAATAACGCTATAATCGGATTTATCCGAATATTGTTAACCATTAGCTGATTTTAATTATTGGATGCTTACCTACCTGAGTTCAATAGCAGGGTAGTAGCTATTGTTGTTTTATCTTTCCTTCCTCTTTTCGGCTGAAATAACCACCTTCCTATTCTGTCCCTGTTGTTGATGACTGCCTGTGATAAACAAATAAATAGTAACTCATAATTTCCCCTCCTTCTCTTTTGACTTTTTTCTCCTTCAGCTTTGCATCTTCAACGTCCACTCTTATCAATATGAACTCTACAAACTGTGCTGCGTCTGTTGACGCCTCCTTTGGTCCATTTGTTCCTCCCGAATGCCGCCATGGCTTCGACTTTACCCTCATCTTTGAACAGTCCATTCTTGTGCTTTTACCAGCCTCTCTTCTTCTTGTTATTGCACCTTTTCGTATCTTCCGCCTCCGAAACGCTCAAGTCAAAGTCACGGGCCATCGTCTTCGTTCTGTCAAGTTGGCGCTTATTGCTCTCTTGGCTGTGCTTCATCTTGTGCTCGTCGTGCTCTGGGCAACTCTAACTCGTGCTTCCAACACGCGTCTAGACCGCGTCTCCATTGCTGCTGCATGTGTATCCTTTGCCTCCAGTTTAATGTCATGTGTCCTTTCCCACGCCGAACATGCCAAATCTCCTCGTCCATCTTCGCTCTTGAATGTCTTCTTTGCCGTGTCTTTGCTTCTGGATGTTGCGCTCCTTCGCACCCTCTGGCTTGTCCCTGTCAACATGGCCATCCCAGCCGTTTTCACGGCGGCCTTTGTACTCAAGGCGATGCTCGTCGTCGTTGAAGGGTGGAGCAAAGCTCCGTATCTTGTCTCCGGCTCCGAGGTTCACTCGCCCGAAGTCACGGCCGGACTTTATGCCCGGGCTGTTTTTGTGTGGGTGATGCCGTTGCTGTTGACGGGTTTTCGGAAGTTACTACGGCCGATGGATTTGTTGGAGTTGGATGAGGGTATGGGTTCGGCACGGTTGATCGGCAGGTTTTGGAGACATTGGAATAGGCACAACCAAAAAGGTTTGTCTACCTTTCCTTTTCCCCTTTCCCTCATTAGATAGTTTCAAGTAGTACTATATTCCAAACAAACTTGGTGATGTCTATGTACTAAATGCTGGTTTAGTTCCGGCCCGCAAGCATCGTCTCATTCTTTGTTGCATCACCACTCTACAATGGCCTATTGTTGCCGTTATTGTTCCTCGACTGGCGCTTCTTGCATTCACTATATGCCAACCGCTCATCCTCAACCGGCTCCTTGTGTTTCTTGGCGATGCATCTCAACCAATCAACATCGGTTATGGTCTCATTGCAGCATACGGTCTGGTTTATACAGGCATTGCCCTTTCTCAGGCTCTTTACTGGCATCGCAATGCTCGTTCTGTCACTTTATTGCGAGGCGTCCTTGTCTCTGCGGTATTCTCCAAAGTGACCGAACTGAGCACTACGGCCACAGACGATTCTGCAGCTGTGACACTCATGTCTTCTGATGTAAGATCCATACCAATGCTGAGATGGCGAGCTAACAAATCTCTATAGGTCGACGTTATTGTGAGAGCCATCAGAGAGATCCACGAGTTCTGGGCAAATATCATCCAACTTGCTATTGCCACTTGGCTTCTAAGCACTCACATAGGATATGCAGCGTCTGGTCCCATTATCATCTCTCTCGTAGCTCTTATCGCTACTGTCCTCGTATCACCATTGGCACGCAAATATCAAATTGGCTGGCTCGAAAAGACACAGAAACGAGTTGGTGAGTATTTATTCCCAGATATATATTTAAAACATGGCTAATTCACAATCAGGCATCACCTCAGCCATGATCGGTCACATCAAGAGCATCAAATGTTCCGGTCTGGCTCAAAATTTGTCCGACACCATCCTCGATCTACGAGCTGATGAGATTAGAGCTTCAAGACCTTTCAGAGTCGTTAGCAGTGTTACTTCTGCGGTTGCTCAAATACCTCTAATGATGTCTCCTGTTGCTGCCTTTGCCCTATTTCAGGGCGTTGCCTCGAGCTCTTCGGAGACGCTGGATGCTACTAGACTTTTTTCCGCGCTTTCACTCATTGTGCTTCTAGCACAGCCACTCTTTTTCATGTTTGAGGTCATACTCGACATGAGTGCTGCTTTGGGGGCGTTTGAACGAATTCAGAAATTCTTGGTGCAGGAATCTCGTCTTGACTTTCGCAAGGTGCAATCTTCATCAGACGTGGAAGTGTCTCAGCTAGGAGAGACATCCTCAATCGAGCTACAAATGCTTAGAAACCCCATGGCCCCTTCTATAAGAGACTCTGACACTAGCAGCTTTGCCATCGAGGTCTCCCATGTCGATATCTCTTGGTCAGAGGAGCGCCCTCTACTCCATCATCTGACATTCAATGTCGGATATAACCAGCTTGTTCTCCTTCTCGGTCCAGTAGCAGTAGGGAAAAGCACGCTATTGAAATCAATTCTCGGGGAAGCCCCATTAACAGCTGGAATAATCAGACTACACGATGAAAGTCACGGTGGTGGTGTTGCCTGGTGCGAACAGAGCCCTTGGCTTCTGGTATGCTTATCTAACGTGAAACTTATTGACGATTTACTAATCGACCAGAACCGAACCATACGCGAGAATGTAGTTGGTTATGCTCGTTTCGATCCTGTCCTTTATCAAAAGGTCATCAAGGCTTGTGATCTTGTGAAAGATTTAGGTCAACTTCCACGGGGTGATGACACAGTCATTGGCAGTAAAGGTCATGCCCTGAGCGGAGGCCAGAAACAACGAGTTGTAAGTCGTGGACCAGACAAATGTCTTTTCAGATACTGACTTGTAAGGCTTTGGCTAGAGCTGTTTACTCACAGCCAAGAGTCGCCCTTCTTGACGACGTCTTCAGTGGCTTAGACCATCAGACTGCTCAAACTGTGTTCGAGAATCTACTTGGAAAACATGGCTTATTCAGGCAGTGGAAAACAACTGTGATTCTTGCCACTCAATCAGGCGAGTTGTTCCATAGCACTGATGACTTATGTCTAACTGTAAAATAGCCAACTTTCTCACTTCTGCTGATCATATTATTTGTCTAAGCAAAGAAGGGGGAATCTCTGAACAAGGCTCATTCCAGACTCTAGAGAACTCCAACGGATATGTGAAATCTTTGATGGATGACAAGGCAAGACACTCTAACTCTGAAGCTTCAGGGAAGGTAGTCAAAGAGCACGCTATCGATGAGACCGGCCAGTCCAAGCATGAAACTCCACAGCAGCAGGAAGAGCCAGACGATGCGCGGCGACAGCGCGGTGACTCGACAGTCTACAGATACTATTTCAGTAGCACTGGTGGTCTATTCATGGTTACCCTCTTGGGGCTCGAGATCATCTGGGCTTTTCTCGGGAGCTTTCCAAGTATGCTGTACCCATCATTCGAAGCCATTCCAAGGCAAGGCTAACTCATTTCCAGCAATCTGGCTTAAGTTTTGGACTGATGATAATGAGAAAGGGAACGACAGAGCCGGTTACTACCTTGGAATATATGCTGCATTGCAGATAATTAGCGTCGTCTGGTTTGCTATTCTCATTTGGTAACTATCTATAAAATCCAAATATTTGAGGACATCAGATACTGACGACAGAGTAGGTTCGTCATCGTCTTGGTAGCAGCAAAGTCGGGCATCACTCTTCATAAGAGACTGCTGTCGACTGTCATCAGGTAAGTCCCTATCTGACAAGGATGTCGGAGATAGATTAGTTGACAATCTAGGGCACCGTTATCACTTTTTACCACGACAGATCTTGGTTCCATCACAACGAGGTAATTTCGGACTCTCAGGGGATGCTTTTGGAGATTAACACTTTTGTAGATTCTCGCAGGACATAGGAATGGTTGACAATCATCTCCCCCTTGGACTTGTTGTAACTCTCGCCAGTAAGCCAACCCACAGCAACTCACTCTCATAAAAACTTTCCTAATAAAACAGGCTTCTTCGGTGCCATCGCTAAGGCTGGTCTCCTTGCCGCTTCAACACCTTATATAGCAGCAACATTTCCCCTTCTGGGAGCCATCTACTTCTATCTCCAGCGCGCCTACCTCCGGACCTCTCGCCAGCTCCGGCTCTTGGACCTTGAAGAGAAAGCTCCCTTGTATACACAGTTCCTAGAGACCCTTTCAGGTCTAGCAACCATACGGGCCTTTGGTTGGGGATCCGCTGCTATCGAGGCCAACCACGCTCTCGTAGACCGCTCACAGAGGCCATTCTATCTCCTTATGATTGTACAACGTTGGTTAGTTTTGGTTCTCGATCTGACAACTGCGGCCCTAGCTCTCCTCGTTGTTGGACTCGCTGTTCGTCTCCGTGGCGACGTAGACGTTGGGTTGACTGGTGTATCGCTTGTTCAGCTAATCTCGTTGAGTGAGACTGTCAACATGCTAATCCAGTTCTGGACATCGATCGAGACATCTATTGGCGCTGTCGCTCGTATCAAACAGTTTGCGGAGGATACTGGAGAAGAGAACTTGCTTGGCGAGACGCAAGAGCCTCCCTCACAGTGGCCAGATAAGGGTGCTATACAGTTT